GGAATTCTATAAGATTCCATCTCAGTATCTAAAGCAAAATAAAATGAATTTATATCAGTCTATGGACATTGCTAAAGTACATATGCTATATTTAATGATAATTAAACAAATAAAACACAAAACAGTAATCATGATGAGAAACTATAGCAAGAAAATACAACAACAAAAAAGTAAAATCAGTAATACAAACATATTAAAAAATGTATAATTTAAAGAAGACTGCACATTGTTCAGTGTTGGAGAATGCTGTTTGATGTGGAGGGTTTCTTTAATCAATAATTCCAAATCAGTATTAGACTTGCAGAGGGTAGAAAAATTTGATAGCATAGGTTGATGTCTTGTTTCTTCACTATGTTTGCATATGGAGGAGACACAGGGGTTACTCAATTTTTTTTGTGTTCTGATGGAAATTCCCAGATGTTCATAGGTTCTGATTTTTAAATGGCATTTGGTTTTGCCAATATAGGAGGCCTTACAGGCTCCACACGTGTAAAGATAGACAAGCCAGGAACAATATGGAATGGGTAGGAGATCTTTAGTAGGGAAAAATTTTGTGTGCGTGATGTGGATTTAAAAATTAATCTGAAATCCACTTGAGGGTAGTAATGGCCAAGTATGCATTTAAGTTGATTTTTTAAAGTTAAGCTTTGTTTACCAGTACAGGGAAGACAAGAGTATATAGTAAGTTTGGGTACAGTTGGTATTTTAATTGGATTTGTGAGTTTCTTTGTTAGGAAGGTGTTGGTAATGTTTTCTAATAAGTGTTGTGGGTAGCAGTTACGTTTCAGGTCATCATGTAAGAACGAAATTTCATATAAACAAAACCTTGTTACATGCTTACTAAACAGAGCTTACAACCTGTGCTCAATGTATCTTAATCTACATTCTGAAAATTCGTTCTTATATGCCAACATAGTGAAGAAACAGAGCATCAACCTATGCTATCAAATTTTTCTATCCTCTGCAAGTCTAATACTGACCTGGAATTATTGATTAAAGAAACCCTCCACATCAAACAGCATTCTCCAACACTGAACAACGTGCAGTCTTCATTTAGATTATACATTTTTTAATATGTTCGTATTACTGATTTTACTTTTTGTGTTTTTGTTGTTTTCTTGCTGTAGTTTCTCCTCATGATTACTTTTTTGTGTTTTATTTGTTTAATTATCGTTAAATTTAGCATTTGTACTTTAGCAATGTCCAAAGACTTATGCAAATTAATTTTATTTTGCTTTAGATACTGAAGTCAGAATATGATAGAATTCTGAAACGTTTATCTATGTCCCCTTTTTGTTAATAAACAATGTTGTATATCATAAGTGGCATAATCTTGTTTATCATACTCATGAGCATTGTGAAAAAATTATTATTATTATCCTTTATTTTACCTTACCTAAACTATAAAGTTTCCAATTTTTACATTTGAATTACTTTTATAATAATAAAGAAAGAATACACATGAAAAGCAAGAAAAAGTACTTAACCTATGTCTTTTTTTATGCCTTCGACTGTCAATGACACTTAACCCTAATTTTCTTTTTATACTAATGGTACTACTGCACTAAACAATTTTTTATTTAGTTAAATAATGCACTAAACAATGCAGAATAATCACACGCAAAAAGCACACAATTTACCATAACTATCACAATTTTTCTGGCTTTCTAAATATGCAACAAGAGCCATTAAAAATTCAGCTAAGCTCACTGATGTGTTTCTTGTGGGAATAAAGTTTGAATTGAAAGCATGATTGAGAATTCTCTGTACAGAAAACAACATAATACATCATTTGATAGATGAAAACCTTGACTTTTTATTGTTTATAAATAATATAGTATTAAACATCAGAGAGAACTATTGGCAATTTCTGAAAGACAGGATGTGACAGATGGGCATAGCAAGAGGGGGTCTGATTTTCTATTTGATGTCCCTGTAACCAAATAAGATTGAAGGCTATAAAAATTATGCTTTGCCTGACCAATGAAAACCTTATAATAAGTAAATTATGTTAAATTTTGTACTTCTTGGATGGATGGTAAATAAATTAGAGAAGAGGGGAATGTCTAGAGAGAAAATGTGACAATTCTCATACTAGGGAAAATTCAGGATTTTAAAAAAAATATTTCCATATAAAATTAAGAACTTAAAAACTATATAATATTAAAATTTGGTTCATTGGCTATATTTTTTATGCTAAATTTATTCGTATACATTGATAAGAAATTAGTTTTATTAAATTTTTAATGTAACTCACTAAAACCTCATGATGTGCAGAAAAGATGCCTGTAGAGAAAGTGTTAATCTATCTAGAAAACTGATAGTCTTAACTGTTGATGGTAACTGGTTATTCTAACAAAACAATATGCTGAAAGGACTTTATACTCCCATTTTCCAAGCAAATGTTGAGGAGCACTTGCCTATAGAAACTTTTTAGTCTTCCTAAACTGCAGTAAGGGAGTTGTACTCTAACACTATAGGAAAGACTGCATACCATTTTGCTAGATTTTTGTCCAAGTTATTTTCTATGCTTATTTAATGTAGTGGATTTTTAGAATTCTTAGATGGCTATACTAGCAAGAAAGCTCAGCAATTCAAGCTGATAATTGGGTTATGATGACAAAAGTAATTCTGTCTGTCATCCCTGATACTTCGGATACATTAGACTGTCAAATATATGTGTGTATACTGAAATTCATAAAGCAATTATGATATAGAAAGGGTCATTTCTGTTTATTTACATCTACAATTACTTTTATTTTTATGAGACAGTTCAAGATGGAGTTAATTTAGTTCTTTAGATGATGTCTGAAGGCCAGAAAGAACTATTGGCATTGCATATCATAGTTATCTGATTTGTCACTGAACATAACATCATGCACTATAAGTATGTGTTGACTGATATGTGATGCTCAGATATCTTGGAATACTGAAATGTATATCTTTGGTATAGATAAAAAAAAAGTAGTTTAGACTGCACTAATAGAGAAACATGATAAAAATGAAAACAAAGTCATAGAACAATGTAAAATAATAATGTATAGTGAGAAGCTCATGCAATTCTTTTCCCCCAAATGACAATCACACATAATAGCAACCAAAAACATTTTAACACCTTTATTTTCTTTTGAAAATGTTCTCATGTACTTTACTTAAATCCCTCCAAGGCCAATACCTCTAAACCTTGTAATAGCATATCAGTACAATATCTAATGCCAAAAATAATTTGTCCAAAATACTCATAACTTGTTGTAGTGTTGTTTCAGAAAAAAATTAGTTTGCTGTTGCATTTAAATTTAAATAGAACAATTATCTAAACAAACTTCCAAATATTCAGTGATATTTTTTATTCTTAGACAGAGCTAATGCTAGTGTGTGTGTGTGTGTGTGGCCTGAAATACCCCCCCCTCCCCCAGCTAATGTCATTGATTAATCTAATTTTAGATTTGGCCCATTATGTGTTTTAGAAGTTTGACAGGTTACAAGTATTTTTATAGCCTTTAGAAAAAGTAAGCATGACTTCAAACATACATGTACTAAGTAAAATATATTTTAAAAGTACATAATTTGTATTTTCAACTGTTTTTAACAATTTTAAATATCTTACACTTAAACCAACAGTGGCTTAAATCAGTCTCACAGTGTCAACTAGATTACATCATAAATAATTTCTATTTAACTTTAATACATATCTTTGAACAAAATAAACTTTGAATTACTCATAATCTGCCAGATTGTTTTCAAATATGTGGCAAAACAAAACATGCAGTTCAAAAACACATGCTTTAAGCCTGTTCCTTATAAATTAGTCTATCACATAAATAAATGAAATGTTTGTATACAGAAACATGTCACATGAATTTACAATACCTTTTCTGTTTTCTCACATTCACATTTTCTGGAAACCATCATAGTACAAGGTGGGCAAGGTCCAGGGTGGCACTGTAATGTGCAGCAATGCTGGCAGGAAGACATTAAACGTTGTTTACCACACATGTCTCCACAAGAGTGAGGTATGTCATACAGGTTCCATTTAGGATCACGCACTTTCCCACAGAAACAAAAATACTGATTTGGTACCTTCTGAGTCAAATTCTGACATGCTGGGCATCTCCATGAAGATTCTGTTGTTAATATGTCAAACTTCATGATTAACACTGATATTAGTCTTATTTATGGGAAAAAACAAAACAAAAAACATTTACTAGTATCATTAAAACTTTTGACAGTTATAATATCCCATAATACTAACACATGAAGAGAAAACCAAGAGCTCCTGGAAGTAATATTCAGAGTAACTGACTCGTTACTAGATTTCATTCAACATCACAACCCTCACCTAGTCACACTGGTTATGCTACTATTTTTTAATTTAAGGGTATAAAATTAAGCTAAATTAAAAATTATATTGTAATCTATACAAGTTAATGATTTTCTTAAGCAATTATTGCACACACACATACATACATATATATATATATATATTCTTTTACCTAACAGGTAATAATAGCACCACAAATAACTGGAGATTTGATCATAGTCGAAACAAAGTTTGATTTGACTGAGCAAAGGAAAAGAAGACTGAACGGTGTCATACAAAATAGAGTCAATCTTTATTCGCAACAGCAACAAATAAAAATAGATGGGTGCATTAAATGTTGGATGACACTTCCAGATTATACACAGTATGTCTTAGTATCAGGAATATTCTGGAGACATTCTGTTCTATACTAAGAGAGTATATTATATACACAGAGGGGATAATGTCACTGCTCTCAGAATGCAGGCACTACTGTCATCATTGGTTGTCCCAAGTGAAAGTAGGGAGAAATTAACCTAAAGGCATTTCTAAACTTAAACATGGCAATGTTACCAGAGAACTCGTATACAAGACCCAAAAATAAATTTTCTATAACACTATCCACAAGAAACATCTAAAAGTAGTGGAACACTCACCTTGATTGCGTATACCTCCTAAAGAAGTAAGTACTGTACAAGGAAGACTAAATGTATGTGAAAGCCTAAAAGTATTCTAAGTGCATGTATATCTGAAAATTTTCTGAAAACTTGATAAATTAAAATAGTTTACTTTACCAAGCTAAGAGAGAATGGAAAATATGTTACTTCCAAGTAATTATTTTACCTTCCATTTTATGTTCCTAATTTTAAACCCAATAGAATATGTAATAAAAAAATCATTGACATTTATTTTACTTCTTGTGCCGAATAAAACACACAATACTGCACTAAATAAGACAGGCAAGCAAAACTTTTTAACAAAGAAAATGTTACAATAATTAAACTCAAATTGAATTGCAAGTTATAACTTATACAATATACTTAAGCTTTATCATTAATACAACCTCAAAACCAAGGTCAAATATAAAGCCAAAACAAAACCTTAGCAACAGTTTGTGTGTGTGTGTGTGTTGCATTGGTCACAATCAAGGATGGTTTGGACATGTTATCATGTGATTATTTCCAAATCTAGCATTCCTTTTTTCATTAAATTCTTTCAGTTTCATAGCCTTAAGAACAGGCATAATCTTATTTTCTGCTCATATTTGTTTTAATCTATTTATTTTACTTTCTAATAGAAAAAAAAGTGACAGGAAAGACCAACTCCTTGCTACTTTTCTTAAATGTATAGTGTTTTAATTCATTTTCTTCCTATGATAACTTATATGGTGTCCATTCTTTGGTGCCTTTCTTTTTTATATTGCAGGAATCTGATTTTCTATTTGATAGCTCTGCAACCAAACAAAATTGAAGACTATAAAAATTATGGTCTGTTTGAGCAATAACGATTTTATAGAGAGTAATTTATGTATAATTTTGTAATTTTTGATGGATGGTGGATAAAATATGGATGAGGACATGCTAAGAGAAAATGTGTCATGTGGGTCATACTAGTGGAAATTCAGGATTTTTTAAAATATTGCCTTGTAGAACTAAGAACCTAAAACTATTAGCTAAGAGTTTATGTTATTCTAACTGGTATAGCATAAACAAAATTGGTTTAATAAAATTTTGAATGTAAGACACTAAAACCTTGTGTCATGCACAGTAAAAGACACCCAGGGCAATAGGGTTAAGGGTAACTGCCTTCCCACAACTGGATATAGACAATGAAAGGCAGTAAAGCTGAGACGTTGTGGGTGTAAGCATTTGGATTTTGTCTGATAGATGGGATATCCCTAACGCATTTTGGTGCTATTTCCACAGACATGATCCGTAATGACAATAAGTTGACGGTAATGCGATATTTAATTCATTATTGTTTCATATTGCTGATTTAATCACCTATTAACAATTAATGTAATCAATAGTTTGTGAGCTATTTATTTATCTATTTACACACACACACACATACATATATATATTTGTTGCAATGGGACCACTGAAGGGATAGCATGTGTCCTCATCCCAAAAATCAAGAGATTTAAAGGAAGCCCACAACCCCTCAGATAGAACCTTCCCTGTAAGTAAGAGCCTGATTGCCCATTCCATAGCCTGGAACTGGATGGGAGGTGGCTGAGCTAGGCATAAAACATGGTGAAAACTTGTACAACCCAGCAGAAGACATATGGTGCTGATGCTAGACAAAAGACTATATCCCTGAACTGCAGAATCTGATCCTTGTATACAAAACATAGCTAAAGGCAAGATGAATTCACTAGGAGAATGTGGAGAAATCCCTCAGCAACCACAAACTTGGGCATCCACAGACCTGGTGAAGAATGCCAATGTAGGGTGAGAGAAAGGACTCCATTGTGGACTGGAAAGAAACAAAGAATGGGTGGAGATGAGAAAAAATGACGATTGTCCATGAATCTCCTCTTGTCTTAGGCACAACAGATAAACAGGAATAAAATCCTGGAAGAACAAGATCAACTGTCACTACAAGTAACACAGGTGGAGAATTGAATGGAAAGACCAACCTCAACACCAGAACCTGAAGTGCCCATGTATCTGCAGTGAAGGAATACCATGTGTCCATCAATAGTTGTATCCTCAATAATTTTAATGTGTGGAACTGGAAAATTAAGGATGCACAGGTACCTGGCCAGATATTTGGCTCTGGCCGGCTATTGAACTCAACAGTAATACTTGGCTCTGGCCGAGTGTTGAACTTAGGCATCTAAACTCTAATCTTTGTTGAAACTAACGAGATACTGAAAGTTAGTCAATAATTGGTCTAGTTATAAAAAAAAATGTGTTCTAAGCAACAAAAACTGACCGCCTGCTGAAAGTCGGTATTCAGAGAACAATCTGGGTTAATAACAGGCATACCTTGAGAAGTGGATTTCTGGGGAAGGTGGGGGTTTTGAGAAGTTGGGGCTAAGCCCTGAAGGTTGAAAGTAAAACTTAAATGTTCTGTTGGTGATTATTTGGTTAAATGAAATAAACATCAATTTTGTTTTTGTGTATGTTATTTTTTGTTTTTGTTTTATTTTATTTTATCACTTAGGATACAATCCTGCCTCTGTACTATTTCAAAAAATTCTCTCAAGTATGATGTGATGTCTAACATTAGATGAAGATAGAGAACTATCTTTCTTGATCTTAGATGTTTCAGAAAACCTTTGGAGGCAGCAGATACACTCTGATAATTGGAAACAGCATTCAAGTGTGCAATCAATACTGTATATACCTTGAGCAGGTTTTTCTGTTACTATATTTGTATGTTGTCTCCTACTGTAGGGAACCTTTTCTTGGTGTTTGCCACCTTTGTTGATTTAATCAGCCCAGCCCTGGTTGCTGATGAATTGTGATAGTACAAGTTAAGACTCAAAAGGAACTCATCTAAAACTTTTTGATGTTTCAATTCTTTGGCTGCATCTCTGATAGCCAATTCTACACTGTGAGCTATGTAATGTACTGGGATGATTCAACTTGCTTTCCATTTCAACTCCATTGCAATGCCTGGCCGGGCCCCAAGATTTACTGCAGTTCCATCCTCAGCAAAACCAACAACATATTGGTTTTTCTGCTTCTGTTCCTCTGCAATGTTCAGTTCTTTTAGCACTTCTAACATTGCTGTCAGAATACTTGCAGAATTTGGATGGTCTACAATTTTGCAGGCAACAAGAAATACCCTAATCACCCCTTGTTTTGCAGCATGGATGTAAAATAGTTCTACTTCCCTCACAGTGGTATTTGTAGAACCATCACACATGGTGTTATAAAAGTGTGCATTGCTGAGCCATTCAATCACTTCGGTCTTTGCAGTTTCTGCAATACAGCACACTGATGGCCACTGATGTAAGTTGAGCCAATACCTACACCATTTTTAGTTTGGAGTTCCATTAGCCATACAAAGCCCTTAAAAGGATGGTTATTTAGTGCAAGTGCATGAGCTGAACTAATTAGCCTAAGAAACCTTCCTTTCTCAGCAGCTGTTATCAAGTCAAGAGCCTTTTTTGGCCTTACTTGAGCCTGGTTTTGCCTTTGCTGCATCCTGTATCCCATGGCACTTTGATTTAGCATGATCACAGAGAGCATAGGTCTTCATATTGGAATTGCATTCATTGAAGAAAAGTGATTTTTTTGGCTGCATAGTCTGGCATACTTTTGCAGTATAGCTTCCCTGTGTCATCATCTTCAATTTTAATCCAAGGGAATTCAGCTTTCCAGCCAGTATAAGGGAGTTATAAGAAGTAACATTAGCTAACATGTATGCTAAAATAGCCATGACAATAAGCCTAACAGAAAAAAGCAATGTTAGCTTTTATTTTTTCATTTTTAGGTATGTAGGTGCATAAAATAGTTGTTCAAAATATTTATACTTTAAAAACTCTATGCCTGGGCACTTCCCCCAAAAGACATGCGAATTGGAGGCATATGCAGAAGGAGGGAAAAGGCTGTCCAAATCCTTATCGTCACGTTCTTTCAAATCTGGACCAAGAATGAGAGGTCAATCATCATATGACTCACAAGAGTGCATGAAAGAAGCCAATTCTCTTCATACTAGTTGTTGTTTGTTATTAAGCATAAAGCTACACAAAGGGCTATCTGTGCTCTGCCCACCATGGGTATCAAAACCCGATTTCTAGCAGTATTAGACTGCAAACATACTGCTGTGCCATTAAGGGGGGGGGGGCTATACACTAGAGCCATCATGTTGTGGGTCAATAAAAGTTGTTTCCACATGGAACTGTGAGTGCATAACTTGTGTATTTGATGTTGGTTTTGAGAGAAAAAAAATATTGTTGTGTAATAGCAACATAGAATAATCAAACCATAAACTGCAAAAATGTATGGTAGAAAAAATGTAATAAATTATAAACATGAACAAGTAAGTAGAAAATTATATTGTCTTCAGATGCATGAGGATAAACATGTCTACACACTAAGACTGCCAATTGAGAAGTGATTACAGGCTTGCAAGGTTGGAGAGGGCACTAGTTACGATAGTAGTAGTGTCTCACTCCTATTGGTGGAGGGTTGCTGCAGGATCATTTGTATGTCAGTATGCAGATGTCTCACTTTAACACACATGAGAGTAGGTGGGAGTATCCAGGCTAGTGAAAATTTGTGCCAATACAGGGCAGTCTGTACCTTATGAACAGAAGGACACACAGCTACTTACATTTCCACTTTAGTCATCCTCCTTTCCTCAAGAGAAACATTCCCAAATTACAACCCACCAGATTACACAGGCTTTACAATGTTATTAAAAAAATTAAAACAATTTTACTATGTGGATTTAGGACTGTGCCAATCACTAACTATAAAAGGCTTGTTCCCTTTGTCACTCTGCTGAGAATGCTTTCACTCTCCTTTTTTGGTAGTGCTCAACAATATACACCATTGCTTAGCAATAAAACTATCACCTGATTGTTCTTAGGCCAACTATGGTGCTTATGTTGAATGGTCAATATTCATGTTTCTTTGTTAAAAAGGTTAATTTTGTTTTATCCTGTTTTTTGGTAACTTCAGTAATATAACAGCAAAATAAAAGTTACCAAGTAGTGTTTCAGCTAAGCCTTACAATACATTTATGTATTAGACCTAATGCTTAAATTAAACTACAAATAGGCCTACTATTAAGAATGTTATAGAGTCTGTTTATAAAGTTTTAAGTAGAGAATAAATAATAAATATTATTTCGGTATTTTAACACATATATTACCTACTTGGCCTTAAAACACAGAGAAAAATAAATGTTTATTACTACCAAATATCTTTCATCCTTTGTAGAGTCGAAACAATTGAAAATTTGTGTTGGTGTTTAAAAGTTAAGTGGTGAATAAATGTTAATTAATAAATAATCTTTTTTGGTATTTCAACACATATTATCTACTTGGCCTTAAAACAAAGAAAAATAAACATTTACTACTACCAAATATTTTTTATCCTTTATATGGTCGAAAGAATTGAAAATTTGTGTCAGAATGTTGGCACTGTTTTCTACTTCCTGACCTAGAATAGAGTAAAAAGTATCAAGAGTGCTACTGAAGTGTCTTACGGAGTGCACATGTACTTTTGTTCATAATAACAATTCATTTTTCTGCATAGTTTTTACTAAAAATGTAGTGATTAAAGAATTACTTTAAGAATGATGAAATAAGTGCATTTTGGAGGTACAAACAAATTTTAGCTAAATTCATACTTTTAGCTGATCATTCAATAATGGTTTCCCATCATTTTAGACAAACTTTTATACTAGTAATAAATAATTCAATAAAGATGACAGATTTGTACAGGGTACTGCATTTACACTCAATGCATATTTAGAAAAACAAATTCAATAAATACAAATTGTTCTTTATTCTTAGAAACATTAACTTTTAGCTACCATTTTTTAATGCTATTTATCATATAGCTAGATTACATTCTAAATTAGTAAAATCATGAGTTAAATATTATGAGCTACACTGAATACATGTATTACCGGCTACAATTGCAGCTGGTGAACGAGCCCACTTTCTGATACATCGTAGATGGAAAACATGGAAACAGTTGATGCAGCTCCATACAGCATCGTCAACTCTAACCTTTTCACAGCAAACCATACACTCGTATTTTCCATGTTGAAGCTGGTCAGTTAGGAGATCTACATGTACAAACATTACAGTAAGAACAAAATTACCTAATACTTTTATAATTAATGTAAGTGCAGAAAGTTCAGGTTTAATATCTCAGTATAATCTACTTCCTGGAGCATTTCTCTTGCTTTCTATTACATGTAGATTACCAAAACTAATGTTAATCATTAATCATATCTTTACACACTGCTCTCAAAGTTTAAACAGAACTTTCTTTACAGATTGCATTAAGTTACAGTAAAAAAAAACAACATTGAAAGTTCAAGCTATATGTACCATTTTAAATTATAAGAAGAGAATAACTGATAAAAATGATAAGTTATGAGACACAAATGTGACTATTCTCAGTAATATATGGTATCCAGTCCTTAAGTTTCATCCTCTTATAACTTACATGTATTACGCATTATCCTTTACCCTACAAATAATTGGTATCTTCAGTCTGTTTTAACAAAGGCTTTTTTGTAATAATTACCCAGCATAAATTTGCACTAATTTTTGACTTATTTTTCACAGGCATTAATAGAGTACAAATGGACTTCCATGTCTATAGTAGAAAATGTGCCAAATGTTAAGAGCTATTTACGCCTAAGTTAAATATTAATATCAATTAAAACTGGAATGGGTAATTAAAAGAGGATGTATTATAGGAGAAAAAGTGGAAATGGACTCTCGTAACTCACAAAATTCTGAGAAATTGAGTGACCAACTGACTGAACGACCGATAATTGGCTTTTATGATTGTGATGACTTTTATAATTTAAAACAAGGAACTTTAACATATTGAAAAATTTTAGTTAGCTTAAACAATGGGATAACTAATGAGATACACTAATACCTCAATTATCTGCCATTAATGTTATCCTCAATTTTTTGCTATCCCTGAAAAAGCATGGGTATTTGAGGCACCAGTGTATATTAATTTACTTTCACAGCAATGAGTGCATGGTAACAAGCACATGATATCAACAACCATTTGATAGATTTGCCTGAACTAACTGCCTCTGGTCCTGTCTGAGTCTAAACATGCACAGTGATTGGTTAAATTGAGAGAAAGAGAAAAAAAACAAAATGTCACAAAATTAGTAACATGTTGTGCAACTGCAGCACTTCATTCTCAGAAAACATAAAGTGCTGAATCCACCATTAAAATCCTAGAAACAAAGTTCAATTTAGGACTCAAAGAATGCAAAGATAGTTCCGGATTTCCAAGAGTCAGAACTGATCTAGATTTGAGTTTGATTTAGCATTGCCCTATGCACGAATAAAATGGAAGAAAATACTCGGTGCCACCATGAAATCTTTAGTCACCATATATATATATAAAATCCAAATACTGATATTAGTATAAAGGTTCATGAACAAATTGAACTGTAATAAATTCATTCAAATTAATGCAACAATAAAATTAAATTACTTTTATCTACAGTGGGAACCCAGCTCTAGGAAGAATATACAACATATTAAAAAATTACAAAAAGTTATATGTTGTTTAAATCCAGTTTCCATTTTAATTCATGGCAGCATTAGTGTAAACCACAATTTTTATTTTACCAGTTTGTGTGTATATTTTACATGTGGCAGTGTAAAATCAGTGTGTGTGTGTGTGTGTTCATTACAACTAATACTTACATATCTCCATTTCTTACTAGAAACAGACAGAAAACATAACAAAAAAGAATCCATGTTTCAGTGTTTCACATCTTATAAATCAGATACTTTCTAAAAACATTGCATTGCATCTACATACATACTACAATAAATTTAGAGATTATGCAAACAACTGGGTTTTAAGTGCCTTTTCTCTCTCTCTCTTTCTCAAAGTATTAGTCACACATTTTGATTTTCATTGTTAAATAAAAGCGGAATCCTGAAAGTTTTTCATCTTTTTTTTTTGGTGTGTGTGTATTTTGTAGGACAGGAAGGGGACAAGTAGATTCTTAAGAAGAACAAGTAGATTTTCCTAACATTTTGAACCTTGGACAACAAATGTTTTCAAAAATTCAACACTCCTGATATCACAAGATTTTTCCATCTCATTAAAATTCCTATCTTGATAATAGTGTTATTTACTTAACAATTAACAAAATGTACACAAGTTTTTAACTTGACAGCTTGTTTTTATTGTTAGTGTTTTGCAGAAGTTAAAGAGTAAGAATACAAAAACCTATAAGTGTAAAATAAATTAAAATAATATACAAGGAAATTGGACAAAAGGGGTAAAATTTCACTTAAAAAGAGGGAAGAAATAAAATACAAGCAGTAAAAACATGAAAACAAAAGATAGAAATGGTTTCTAAAAATCCTATTTCTTTTGATGCACAGTATAAATAAAAAATACATTAAGTATCAAACCCAAAGGATGCAATTAATCTTTTTTTTCTTCGAGATGGTGCTATGTAAAGAGAAAACATTTAAAAGTTAAACTATTGAAGTTTTTGGAATATTTCATTTAAATCTAGATTAGAACATGATTCATATTCTTACTTGTAGTACTTTTGTGTTGATAATAAAAGATGATTATATAAGAATGCTAATTGTTATTAGTAAGGTTAAACTTTAAAACTCAGAAGTGGCAAATAGTCTTTAGACAATACTTATATAATAATACAATGTATTTAGCCTGTTTTAGAACTTAATGATAAGCTGAATTGTAAGTAAAGTCAAGGTACACTTGTTAAGCCTAATCTACTGTTAGAAATACTCACACCACCAATCTCTAATTTAAAAGATAAATTTTAATTACTTTAGTGTCAAATAAAGTAGTGATAAAATAGTGTAATATTTAATTCTCAAACATTAGTCTTAACAACTTTCAAAGGGTTCCTTGTATTTAGTGTTTATTATTTGTTACATGAGAAGTATAGACAGTTCGTAAGGTGTGATGTTTGCAAGGAGTAGGTTGTATCTGCAAACTTGGGACTAGCACGCACTTTTAAGGAAGATAGTAGTGAAGATATGGAATTTGTTTGTGGGGCTCACATATTGGAGGCAATCCTAAACACAGTAGAGGAGATAGATAAAGAGAATTGTTAACTGTGAGAAATAACAGCAGGATTTCAAGAGGAACTTAAGCTTTTACATGCAATGGATAAAGTAGCTAATAATGACTTTTAGAAAGTTAGAAACAGTACTATTATGGCTAGAAATAGCAGATTTAATTGTAATGAGCAGGTTCTATTAAGTAACAGATTTCAGCATTTAGCTTATACAGATGAGGAACTACAAGAGAGAAGGAAAACAAAAGAAACAGAGAAGGAAGGGAATGACAGAGGTGGAAGATATAACTGACAGAGTAAGTGGTATAGTAAAAGGTGCCAGCAGTGACCCAGTCTTTGTTGTGCACATAGGGGTAATGATGTAAGGAAGGATAGGTTAAAGCAGCTGGTTGATAAGTACAGGAGGTTGATAATGGCATTTAACAAAAAAAAGGGCTATAACTTACTTGCTTCATGGATACTACTGAGAATTAAACTATGGGGATGAAGTTAAAAATAGGTCATTAGGACTAAATACTATGCTTAGTTTAATATGCAGGGAATAAGAGATTGGCTGTTTGGAATTGTGAGATCAGTTCAGTGGGAAAAGGGAGCTTATTGGAAAGGTTCATTTACATTTGAATAGAGGTGAGGCTGGCTTGTTTCCAAAGGCTATTAACTCAACTGTAATGGAACCTTTAAACTACGACTAGATAGTGGTAAGGGCCAGGATAACAAAATGCAGAAAAAGTAAGTTTGAGGAAAATATAGTGAAGGAACAAAGTAGAGAAGTAGTTCTAAAGGTTCGGCAGAATTGTTACTATTGTAATACTAGAAGTATAAGAAATAAAATAGATAACTTTAGATCACTGGTCAGTACAGAGGATTTTGATATATTGGAAATAACCGAAACTTAGTTGAATTTAGATAATTTCAATGACAGAGAAATTTATTTGAAATACAGAGGTACAGGTTATTTAATAGGGATAGAGTACTACTGAGAAGGTGAGGAATACTTTTGTATGTAAAATGAGTTACATCATATTGAAATTGATGATATCAAAGATAATAGCAAAGAAACAATCTATTTGAGTTCTGTTAGTGGATATACCGGAAGAAGGCTTGTAGGGAGAATTTGCTAGAGACCACAAATATTAAGATTTACACTGTTAATGAGGTCATAATTAGAGCTGGATGATTAGTATTTTTTGCTAATCAAGTTATTGACAAGCTCATTCATTGTTACATTTGATTAGTACAAGTAAAAATATGTGTGTGCTACCTTCATAACCTTTTCCATCCCTGCATTATTCTAACATTGTAATACGTTTTCCATTTTCATTAAAAATGTTTTGTTTTTAAGTAATTTTTAAATTTCCCTTGATCTCATATAATAGATATTGCCACAAATATTATGGACATTTCCTACTTGGCAAATGAATCACTAATTTTGAATAGATATGGTCACTATGTATATCAAATGAATTGATAAATAATGAGAACATTTTACTGTCACCAATAAGGGTAATAATGTTTTATTTAAAACATATCATGATTGCAATTAGAAATAATTTAGTAACCAGTTATCAATTTATTTATGTACATTGTTCAAATAAGATAAACATAAAAATAATATCTAATAAAAATTAGAGAGTTATCAAGATACTTTGCAATAGCATACTATATTCATTAAACAGTTTATCTAATTTGATGATGATTTTATTTGGTGAATGTCATGCTTACAGACATTGCAACTCAATAAAACCATAATATGTCTACTAAAAAGTAAAAATGCCATAATCTTAAACAAAGAACCAAACATCAAAAGATAGCTTTTTAAAGCCTTAAGTAATCTCCAGTCATGTGATTTTTTTGTTTCATACTTTACAGATATATACTCCTGTGTCTAGGTAAACTACTTGTACCTGATGATGACAAGACCGTCTTCAAATTTTGTACATTTGTTATGTTCAACTTATAATAAAATTTTCTTTGTGACCCATTCAACTGTCTTGAAACTGTATAAACTT